AAATCTATATCCAAATAACTTTCGATAAACAGAAATGTCGAAAACTAGCCCAAAAACTTATCTTTGCTGTAATCTGTACGAATTAATAACAATCTTTGAGAGGACTGTAAGTTGGGTCACAGAACTAATCTAACTTGTCCGAAACTTTGTCCTCATTTAAAGTTGATTTTTTCTCCCCTCAAAGAAATTGCACAGATTTAAGTTAGATCTTCTGAGGATCACTTAGTTTGCTATACTAATTATGAAGCAAGTTTTATTTTCAAATTATGCCTTTCACAAATCTGTTATAAATAAAACTTAAACTTTGTAAGTTAAAAAACAAGTGTCCCAGCATTACTTATGAGCAATTTAAAGCTTTTGACATGATTTTTATGTTTTATAAACTGTCGTCGCCAATTAAATGCATGTTAGATAAAACTTGTCTCTATAAAGATAAGATACAAATATACGAAGATTATTCAAGTCACTAAATACGAGTATAGATTATCAGAAACTAATCTTCATATTATTCATACAAGCGAGGTTACGATAATTTATTCTACATTATGTATTCTAGTGTTTAGTATTACGAAGCAATCTATTCTAACCCTAAGATAATATTATTGTTTGAGTGTGCTTATAATCGACTAATTGTCAACAATTTATTTCAGGACTTATCAAGCGAGCTTACTATTCAGTCAGCATAATGTTTTTCAATCTGTTTGACGTTTTGAAGCGGGAGGTAGAGATAAAAGTATAAGAAGTACTTTCAGCACTTTAATCTACGCTTTAAATTATCACTTCTGTAAAAGTTCAGCTGCATTAGCAAAAGATTTAATAAATGTATAAAAACTTTGCTTTCCAATTATATTGTATAAAGTATATAAATAGTACTATATTTTCAAGGAAATTTTAAGTCCTCTAATCGTATATAAAATAGGACTGTCATATACACATTTATATTCAATGAGAAGTCATAACCATAAAGTGTGTCCTATGAGTTAGGAAGGTCACGCTATATGAGGGTGACGAATTTTCACAGTAGATCCATCACACGTACAGGATTATAAGGAAAAATATATCTCGCACGTTTAGTGATATTTCATTTTATTTTTGTGCCTTAACTATGTGAGTTATAATACGCCCGAGTGTAAATTTATTTTTTTCTTGAAAGGATATTTCCAAAAAATATAGAAAATTGATGATATTTCTGCGCCACGTATGAAGAAACACTATTTTAAAAAGAGCCATCATCTCTTAAATACTCACTCATCAAGAGCAATGAAATAAATGAGAAAGAATTATGCACCAAATGTAACAAATCCGACAAGTATGTTATTTTACTCATAAAATAATTGTTTTGATTTATAATATGAGCTCAGTCCTCTAATCCATAACCACAAACTATTACCGAGATAATTTAAACTAACAAAATATTGAATTGCAATTTCAAATGAAATATTACTATTTAGAGAATTTCTCTGTTAAATTATCTTATGAATATATTATTATTAACAGTGAGTACGGTTCTTTTGTAATAAAAATATTCATAAGTAGATATACCAAACACGAAACATGAAACACAATATTTCAGGCGACTCGAACCTGACACTTTCCTCCGATAAATCAAAAAAAATATATATCGGATACAAAATACATCCCATATAGTTCATTGGAGCTGAGATAACAACAAAAAGAAACGACTAGAAAGTTACGACCGTTTCGATCTGGATATAATTTTACTTATTACCTTTTTTCGTATTATATATCCTTTATTATACAGCAATTTATTTTTGAGAAATAACAATTTTTAAACTTGCTATTTATTACATGGTAGAATCATGTTCTTTTGAAAGCTTTTATAACCAGTATAATTTACAATTACGCCCAGAACAGAATGTACTTGTAAATTTTAAAGAGATTTGGATAAGAGAGAGCTTCATAGCACTGCATTAAGGATACGTTAAGGCTTACTCGTCCGGCTATAAATAATATAGAAGCACGCCGCAGGTATGTAAGTATGGGATTAAACAGTACTGCATAAAAAGGTTTTATATTTTATATTCCTGTTTTCATATTTTGAAATGAAAAAAATAATAATATGAAATTAGAAGCTCTTTTAAAAAAAAAATATGTAAAATTTTGCTGTTATATCTACAGCTGCTACTTCTACTGCGTACAAATTTACAACGAACCTATTCTTATTGAGTTTATTAGTTTACCTTGATAGCCTAGTCTTTGGAGATGTTCGTTTCCCTGAAAACTTCTCAACGTTATAAAGAAACTATAGCAGACTTAAAAATCTACATTACGGTGAGATATAGAATAATCAATTTTGGAGATAATTTATCGTATTTTTATTTTTATTTTAAAAACTCTCGATAAACTTCCGGGTTGTTATATTATAGTCTTTACTTTAGAACACCTTTTATATCACAGTTTGTTTCCTTATGGAATTCATTCCCTACGTGGCTTTGTAAGTTGAATTGCTAAACAATGAGAAATTGTATCTCGGCTTCCTATTGTTATAAAATCGGCGTTGCGTTAATAATTATACTGAGGTTTAACAGAGGTTCAAGATAAGCGGATGTTCTTAAACATATTAGTATTTAATGAATAATTCCTGCGAACAACATGTATACAGGGTGACTGGTGAATTACTATCAATATTTAAGGAGAATACTCGGTACATGATTCTCATTCGAATTATGTAAAAAAAAAAATAGGCACTTAATTTTTGACAAAATTTCCGTATAAATAAATAAAGTGTTGACACGTTCCAAATGTTCCAAGTGTGGACGCGTGCGGCAGCGTGCTGATACAACACCACGCCCCGCTCGCGTATGTGTGAGTGTGAGTGTATACCTAATCTGTAGGGTGTTCACACGATGCGTAATTAATTACATAACTTTTGGTTAACTTTACTTAGAAGTTTATTAATATTTATGTTATATTAATTTTTATTTTGTCATATATGATCGTCAAATATCACGTCCTCAAGTATCGATAGTAATTCACCAGTCACCCTGTATATGTTATGTATAAAATTATTTGTAACCTACAATAATTCGAGAGGCATATGTAGGACCGGCCAGTCGCTGGTGTGCCCTGTCGCTGACAGATCCGGGGTACACCGACATAGCGGCCGATGGCTTTCACAGTGGTTTTAGTGAGTAGGGGCCTGCCCAGGCCGAGCGTCACACATCCCTTCCGGCCCCACCAAGGCCGGTTGGACGGCTCGTAAAAAGAGTTTCCCTGCGACATCAAAAAAAAAAAAGAGAGGCATATGTAACTAAGACTGTATAAAAATTGATTTTATTAGAATATTTAACAGAGCGGTATTTAATACAATTTGAAAAATTGACTTACAGCCTAAATATTTAAAAATTGAATAACCTCCCGCGGTTGAGATTAAAATTAAACAAGAGTTAATGACATTTCCCTTTCCTTTTAATAAATTGAGTTTTTAATTCGAAATTCACACATTATAAAAATATATTACAGGATTTTTTTAAAATGTATTTATCTGAAATTAAACAAAAATCAACGGTAATCTGTATTTCATAATATATGATATCAATGCTTATTCCGAGACTTTATAACGACATATTTATGTAATATCTTTTCTAAATCGGTGATTTTGTGCTTAACCCTTTGAGGTTTTGGATAAGAAATTTATTTATCAACCATCTTACATTAAATGCATCTTTATTCAGATTCTTCAACTAAACTGTAGGTAAATAATGTAATAAAATATTAAAAATTCATACTATTTGTAGCATTTAAGCATAAAAATACCATTCAACTAAAATTTAAAATAAATAAAGCGTCACAAAGGTAATATTTCATGTTATGTTACCAACACAGTTTCAGATGAAAACAAAGTCCAATAATACCAATAAAAATCCATAGAACTGGTTGGAGTCATTATGTTAGATTGTAGTACCACAGTGTCATGCTGACACTAATGTTACTAAAACGATATTTAAATAAATTGCGTCATTTTCTCGTTAAAAAGAATAAAGAAAATCTGTTATGAGTTTTTTCATGAACACTAACTGTTATATTATTAAATATATATAATTATTACTGATTAATGTAATTAGTAGTCAAATTGAGTTGATTTAAATGTCACAAAAATTTAAAAAATATATGAATTCCTACTCTTGTAATCCGAAACTCGTTCCGTCTTCCTGAACACCCTAATGATTCCCCCTACACCAACCCAAATTGAAAGTTAAACAAATAAAATTCCATTATGACCCAGCGCCTGTAAATAAATTCGATTTGAGCTCAAGTACTTATCATTAATTTTGATGGAAATTAAAAACCTTTTGGTAAAAATTCAATCTTATAACAACTCTGTTTTGTCAAATATACCTAGATATTTATTTCAAAATAATATATATATATATATATATATATATATATATAATTTATATATATATATATATATATATATATATATATATAAAAATTATAATAATTTTGATATTGTTTTAATTTACTATCTAATATTTTATATAACATATTATATTATATACTTATCTAAGGTAAGTATAATGTTTCCATAAATATTTTTAAAGCGTAAATTTAATATCATCTATCTACTTTTCGTAATGTTGACAGACAACACAACTTCTTACGACGGCGTCTATGTTGATCATTATTTAGTGACGAAGATGTTTGCATTTGAAGCGTATCGTAAAATGAATCCACATTTTTCTTTCAACAGAAGAAGGTTTTTTATATCAGTTTTATGAGACATAAAATGCAGAAAAACTACCATTATCTGCATCAATATTATCTTTTTCATATATAATATCTTAATCCGTATTTGTTAAAATAATGTTTTAAAATAGAAAGAAATTATTAAATATAATTTATAATCTTCGATTTATACATATACATGACACAAACCAATATACGTTTGTTTGTTACAGAAAATAAAATGTGGATGTCCGATGCGAGGTTATGGATAAATTATTCATTCATAATGGCATGAGAAATACAACATTAACATGTGTCCCAGCCAGACTTGGTTGGCGATTACGACGCTGCTCCTCATTCTTCATCAATCAGAAATGAAACACGGAACCCTGACGGAAGAGTTTCTCAACCCGAGCACTAGACATCACCATAGACATAAACATAAGCAGACTGAATCCCCACTACTAGATCATTTGGACAGAAGATACAAATACTCCTATTTTGATCCCCACATTACTTTTAAAGAGAAAACTTACGTTGACAGGGATCTGATTGGTAATGATGAGTTAGAGCATCAAAATGATTGGTGGAATATATCAAAAACTCAAATGGGAGAAATGAAAGATAAGAAACAACAACATTGGCCCATCAAAAGGGAAGCTGTTATTGAAGGTGACTTAGTACTAGGTGGATTAATGATGGTCCATGAGAGATCAGATAATATGATCTGCGGTCCAGTCATGCCGCAGGGCGGGGTTCAAGCCCTCGAGACAATGTTATTTACTTTAGATATTATAAATCACAAACTAAAATTAATACCCGGAGTAATAATTGGTGCACATATATTAGACGATTGTGACAGGGATACATATGGTCTGGAGATGGCTGTAGATTTTATAAAAGGTAATCAAAATACATATAATATTTTATAAAGCACGTTCTGTATTTTATTGCTAGCAAGCAGATTCTGCAATGTATATAAACTAAAAAAAATGTTTCAATAAGTAAACTCCGAATTGCTCCTTCGAATTCTAATTTAGTCAGACTTGGAAGTGTACCAAGTTTGTATAGGCAGTGGTGGTTTCATGAAAAATGAAATTTCGTTATGAACAGTTTGAAAAAATGCCGCCTTCCTACAATAATTTCTGTTCCATTTATTACAATTTTGTAATTTTAGAGTAGGCTTTACTATGGGTATATTTATAAAAGTAATACCGTATTTTGAAAACAAATCATGCTTCGTACGTTATAATACATTTTTACATATAAATATCTTATCTACATTTCTTATACCAGGATCAATAAGCAATATTGACGATGCGGAATACGCATGCAATGCGACGGCAATGCGGAAGGTAATATCTGGCGTGGTGGGTGCTGCCTCTAGCGTAACGTCGGTGCAGGTTGCTAATCTACTGCGCCTATTTAAGATACCTCAAGTGAGTAATTAATATAAAAAGCAGAATTAAGTTTAATCTATTTTGCCTACTACTTTGTTTTATATTTCTTATAATAATTTATCAATACCAAAATGTTCTTTCGTCTCGACAAAAAGATAGTAAGTAATGATAGATGCTTGTTATAGAATTTATCGAGAATGAATTAAGAGAGCCTTCTTCGCATTAATTTGTTACGTCATCATAATTTATCTAAGCGTTTATATAATAATAATATGATATTTCTGAATCTCGTTATACATATAACCATTCGTTCGGTCTCTAGTGACCCGAACAGTCGTTTGACTATGACGAATGACTGTAAGCCCAACATTTATCCTAATAAACACCTACCTAAAATCCACTGAGAAAAATGTTGTTTAACTAAATGCGTCTGTTTTGTTAAATAAATGTTACATTAAAACGTTTACTTAGTTTAGATGAGATTTAAAATGGTTATCCTTGTCATTTAAAACAGGATTTTGAAGGGATGTATTTTACTTTTTGTATATTAAAAAAATCTTTGAACCGTAATTGTCCTTCTGAAAAATATATATGGTTCAAAGCTATATACGGAATTCAATTAAAACTTCATTACCATTTTTCGTATTATAACTTTTTCACAATTTAAGATCAAAATCTTGTGGAAACAAAATATTAATTTGGAATTCCGAATATAAGAACAGGAAATTCAAAGTTTTTTGATTGAGGAAAGTGTTTATGAAAAACATAAAATATTCAGGAAACAAATCATATTTAAATGAAACTAATGTCATTCTGATTACTGCGCGTATTTTTTTTAACTACCCACTCGTACTCCCCACGTTTCTGTTACTTTTCAGCAACTTTGATCAGGGACAGACAAGATGTGAATGTTTGAACGAATATTCGCGAAGGTCTTAGATCTCATCATATTACATTTTGTTATATGTTTATTTTGATCATTTGCACCCAGTTATTTAATTTTGTTCATTATACATATATTTGTTCAATATATTTATTGCGTCTGTTATTTTTTCAACAGGTCTCATTCTTTTCTACTTCACCAGAACTTTCAAACAAGGCTCGCTTCGAATACTTCACTCGAACCATTCCGTCTGACTTACATCAGGTAATTTGTTTCAGTTATTATTGAAATTCAAAATATTAAAGTTAAGTTTGCAATCGATTACGTATTTGTAATTCAATTGAAATTAAAAAAAACAATCGTGTTATAAGTTTAATTTTTAATTAGCGACTGCCAGTTTTATGAGTCATTATCAAATGTCATTTATAATCTCAACGTTACACACGTTATTTGTTGAAATATTAAAGTGATGATATATTTTATATACATATTAGTGAAATACATATAATTGTGTACTATTTAATGGCTTTTCTATTTACTATACAAGTGTTTTTTAAGGTTCGTGCGATGGTAGAAATTGTAAAGAAATTGGGCTGGAGTTATGTTTCAATAATATATGAAGAATCAAGCTATGGAATAAAAGTGAGTTGTATTGATATAGTTTATTAAATCCTTAATCAACAAGGTTTGGTGAAAAGAATATTTTATCAAGTCTGTTATTATTTATAGCTTCAAGTACTTTGATCTACTACTTTAATATACTATTATTTAAATAATAATTCCATTTAAGTTATTCCTATATATTTTGTGTGGTTAGATCATATAAATTACTTTTTCTTAACTCATGTAGTATTTTTTTTCAAGTTATTACATTATCTCTTGGTTTTTACTATTTAAATGAGGCTTAGTGTTAAACAAACAAAAATAGATATATTCATAAACATGATGTTTTCTTATGGACTTTATCTTTATTCGGAAAAAACAGTCTACATTCAACAATGTGAAATATATTATTGACCTGGCCATGTAAATTTAAAGTTACTTTATACATGGGTATACAACAATAAAGAGATTTTTATATACTTCTAATATAATAAAAAGAAATATTTGAATAACGTTACTTATATAAGTATCAAAATCGAAATATCCTCATAGAACTAAGTGTTACATTAGTAGTCCTTGTTTGTAACAATATCAATGGTGTTGGCTCAAGTAACCCAATATATTGAAGCATCATTTAAGTGTTCCACACAAAGTAACGCCTTCATATAATGTTACAATAAACAATCTAATTCTACATCATTCCTCAGAGCTCTATTCAGTGAAAGACAATTCCCTTGTGTTCGTATGTCTAAAGAAAATGTACTGTTACGTGTCAGCTGTCATCACGATCACATTGAAATGTCTGTATGAAATCTGTTACTTGGATCTTTGTCTAATCCGACACCATATAAATATATTCTTGCATGCAGTTATTGTGGATAGATTCATAATAATACAGTTTTGTTAGAATACGATACAATTTGTAAGCAACATTTTACTTTTAACAAATAACTAATTGCTATATATGTTTATTTATATCTTTTGAAATGCTAGTCGAGTTTAATTCTATGTTTTTTTAAAATAAACTTTCAATATGTATAGGCTTTTGAAGAATTGGAAGCTTTGCTGGCTCGAAATGGAATCTGTATAGCCGTGAAGGAGAAACTGGTGAAGGATTCTGGTGTGGCTGACGAACGTGCTTACGATGAGATCGTCCAAAAACTGTTAACAAAACCCAGGGCTAGAGGTGAGTTATTAGTGTCATTACTTAACTTACAAAGATTGTATACAAGGTGTGTTATGTTTTTCTATGAAATATAAAGAAGACACTGGTCAAATCTTTATAGTGTAGCATGTAAAAATATACATATATATTTCATTGTTAATGTACTGTGGTACGATTGATATATAAAATTACTCCATATTTAGGTTTTGAGGTGAGAATTTCGATATTTGAATTACGTACCAAAATATTAGGCATTCGTTATATTTAATGTTAAATTAATTAAAAAAAGGGGTTTTATGAAACACAATCTTGTTATATTTTGTATAAACTAACCAATAAATATTCATTTATATGTTATAATATAAAAATTAAGGTTTGAAGCAATATAATCTTAATAAAAAGGCCTCTTTCTTGTAAATATCGTAAAGTAGAGAAAACTTATACTTTCCGTGTCGCATCTGGCTCTTATTGCCGACTTTATTTGCCACGTCGACGATCGCCCTTCATACATCAAAGAAACTCGATCGACAGCCTTCGATGTCAAATAACTCAAGAAACTCTATCTTTATATACTATTTATTTATAGATTTTGTTACAGAAACTTCTTGTTACAGTTCCAACATTATAAAACAAATATAATGATATTTACTGATCTTGCTGTGTTGAAAATAAAATTTAAGTCCAAATAGTAAAAGTGGGATGTAAATAAAAATAAATTATAAGTTTGCTTTAAAATATTCAATTAATTTTAATAGACTCTATTACATATTACCTGGGTAAGTTCATGAAAATATAAAAGCGACAAATACACAGTGAAAAGTAAAGAGAAACAATACATCACACCATCTATTTCCTTCAAAATATTCTCGAGTTATATTTTATGAAGGTTCGAAAGAAAGGTTTTTCTGATCTCAAAATTAACGTCCGCAAAATTCTTAGGAAACATAAAAAGGGTTCTTTACGTGGGAAAAAAATATCAGAACTTACTTTTATAGAAAAAAATACTTCCATGAAATTGGAAGTCGTTTGAAATACGGCAGGTCTTTTCAATGCACCAGTTGTTCAATTCAGCGAGCCACTTTAGATTCACTAACCAACTGAACGCGTATGTTTTATTGAAAGCTGTTTTACGAGTCTAGAGCTCCTGAACTCGAACTTATATCGTGATTGGACAATACCCATTCGTTTATTTGTGATTTTTAAAGCGATTAATTGAACAAAATATAACATATAGAAATTTTAAACGATAAAATTATTATTTATGGCAGTTTGCAGATAACTTATCACTAAGAATACTTAAAGAGTATTTTCAAAAGGGAACTAGCTGTTAGTAAATATATTTTATCCTTGCCATGTGAAGCTGTACTTTATAAAACTCAGATCTATAAATTTAAATCTATGCGAAAATGTAGCTAGAGTGAGTTCAAGTAGAATAGAATACAAATTGTTACCAATCTTCCAGAAACATAAATTACAAGTCCTCTTGATAACCAGCTGCGTCGTGAGATATTGTGTCTCTAATGTTTTTGTTCGCTGTAAATCAAAAAGCTAATATCGACTCTCTACAATCTTTGTGTTTATAGAGCTCGGGGCTATATCGTTCTTATAATAAACTGTGGTGATAAAAATACTAACGCTTTTTATACATGAGCTACTTTATGAAAAAAATCCTGGTATCATAATCTAAACCATTTTTTTTTTCAGATTTTATCGAATCTAAAATATTTGATGCGTATAAATTCTGCCACGAAAAACGTTCCGCAAAACGCGCTCCAAAAACCTAATATCTAAAAACTATACGGCCACTAAACTTGAGATAAATAGCGCGTCGTTGGCCCCGATAGCCAGCTGCGGAGAGACACAATTTTTCGCTAAAGTGGTTATACAAATTGAATCGATGCTCGTCAATAACCGATGATTGTCGTTTAGCGCGCCCAGCGAGTGCGTATGGGGCGTTCCTCGCGCTTGAGGGCTTTCACTTTCAAAGCAAATTGAGATTCTGTTAAGAACAAATGAGAATCTCTCCAATTACCATACGTTTACTTCAGTGGTAATAATACAAATGGAACGGTTGCTAATAAAATTCTTTGCTTTTATTTATTTCTTAAAAAAAATCATTTGTTGATTTTTATATAATTAATGCACTTACAGGAAGAAAATGAGTTGATTGAATGTCTTTGAAAGTTAAAAATATAAAACGAAGAATAATTATTATTTATGTGCAGTAAAGATAATTCGCGGGATAATAAAATGAAACTGAGCATTTTAATACTTCTTAAAAACGGCATTGTGTGTAGAAAATATTATATAATATTTCCGTATCATATCCCCGATATATTTTCCTAATACCTATACGAATTGAATACAGCACAGTGTATTGTGAGAGTAATCCATAATCCGCTGAAAATCTGAGGCTGCCAGAACAGAATACATTACATACATCTACATATTTCTAAAATATTACAAATCAGTTTCAGCTGGCAATGACGGCTGAGATTTGAAAAGATTATCTCTTTGTTGAATCAAGAGTTATATGGTTAATCTTAAATAAATTCAACGTTTCTTTTTGAAATTATATAATATGAAACCTTTCATCAGTTTAAAATATGAGTATTTTTCTAAACTAATATCAGTTCTCCGATCCATTACGTTCTTATAAAAAGTCGATCGATAAGCAACGTCACTGTCAAATATGAAGACGTATATACGATATCTGCCAGCAGTCACAAAAAATACTGAGCTATTTTATAGTACATATATTATAGTAGATTATAGAAGATATAATTAATTGTTTACTTCTTTTATTACCAAGTGTACAGCATAGCCAAATTACTATTGAACACAGTAACTTAATATGTGTAGGGTAATTTAATGCTTCAAAGCTCCCACATTCAATATTACAAGGTGAGATATGTGTTATTTGGCAGAGGGTTGTGAGGTCACAAAGGCTATTGTTTGCATGGGACCAAAGGTTAAGTGGCTGTAAACGCGCAACCCAGCGATAGTTACGAAATTTAACGATATAAGTTAATTGGTTGCATTGTTCCATTCGTAGTTAATATGTCGTAGCTAAAATGAAAAATAGCTTTATATTCCTACTATTTGACATTTAACAATCGGTTTTATATTTTATATTTCCAAACACATCCGAAAATTTACAAATACAATTTCTTTCACAAAAGTTACTGAGTAAACGTGGTCTTTTTTTTTACTACATATAAAACGTCATTACAAGAGAACAGATCTCATTTCAAGTCCCCTTGTGAACTTAGAGCATTCTCTAAAAAAAAATTGTTATATTTCATTGCGTTAGAGCTTCCTGTCATGACTACAATACTCATATGTTGCGATAATGATTAAAATCTTAAAATTGCAGTTAATGCTATATTTTATCACAAATAATTGTTTATATAGTAATGTTAACTTTATGTTAGACTAGTTTGCTGATTCTTCATATATTTTTAAAGCTTCTGTATTTGTTTGAATACTTTGACGATGTTCATTATAACTGTTGTTATGCTGTCTCCTGTTTAAACATACAATAAGAGTTATGTTTGTCAGTGTGAGGGATTAAATAGTTAAATTAATTCAGTTAATATTATCGTTCTTAAATAAGTCCTGTGTTTTATTAAATGAATCAATAAATTAAGAAACAAAAAGTACATCAACAAATATAACTTATCTTCAAAGTTTTAAAATTTATGTCAAATAAGATTTTACGAAAAAGAGCTGGAGAACTGAACAATATAACCTGTATTTCCAAATATAGGCAATTTCTCGGAAAAGCCGATCAGCAGTTTTCTCATCCCAATCGATATACCTCAATATACGCTCACATAAAATGTTCTATTCAGAATTAAATTACTTTATATAATTGTACTCGTACTTGTACTTCGTGTGAAACTCTTTTTCAGCACATTTATAACAAAGGACATCCTTTTATATTCAAAATAGAAAATAATTTTCAATAATATATGTCTTTTTCCTTATTTATTTGTTTTTCTGTACAGCGAGAGCAGTATTAAGTTCTTCGGAAAACATAATAATATATTGGATAAACAAACAGTTCCTGAATCTACAATAATGAATTCAAAAAGATAGTCTCATTTTTGTGAATAATTTTAAGTACAATTATTGAAAGATTAGCTTGCAATACATGACTTGTTTATTTTTAATAAATTAAATGAAAATCTCTGCAATAAAACTTTTGCTTGTTACTAGAGTGTTGGATTTCATTATAGTGATTACGTCTTCAAGAGGATCATATTCTACAGTTTAAAACATTTTCATTTTTATTTAAATTGAAGGATATTTTATATTGTTTTTTATTACAAAGTTTAATTACTTTATAAACTTATACCATTATACCTTTTTAGTTTGTGAATCAACACATTGAAAATTATTATGTAATGATTGCCAATTGGTAAAATTTTTAAACCTATCGGTTTTCAGTTAGTCTAAATAGTAGGTATTTATTTTTACGTTATTTTTACGATACTTGTGACGAGGACCAATTAATTTATAATTCAGGACTGGTTTCATTACATATTGTGAATAATTTTAATATATTTATTAATATAACAGAAAAATAATACACGTTTATTATTATTTACTTGTGATAAATGAACCTCATTAAATCAAAAGCTGCAATACTTTCAATAATCATTGAACATTATTTATGTCTGTGTTAATTATGTTATTTTAATATAAATACCGAACGAGTATGAAATAATAAGAACAGAAAAGAGAAATTTAATTGGAACTAACAAATAGGTTATATGAATAATTAAGTTATCATAATTGAATTCATACTACTGTATAATTGGTATTTTTTTAGGAGCCATTATCTTTGGGTCAGATCAAGAAGTAGCTGGAGTGATGCGAGCTGTAGAACGTGGGAACGCTACTGGAGCGTTCAGTTGGGTTGGTTCTGATGGATGGAGTGCCAGGGCGTTAGTCTCTGATGGAAATGAAAGAGCAGTAGAAGGTACCATAAGTGTGCAACCTCAAGCAAATGATGTAATTGGATTTAAAGAATACTTCTTGGGGCTAAATGTCAAAAATAATAGAAGGAATCCATGGTTTGTAGGTAAGATAATTATTGGAGATAATAGTGTTAAACCTGCTTTTGATACTGTAGCAATTATGCTAATAATATTAGCAATAATATCAATTATTATTACGTTCAGGGTCTTCACAAGTATCTTATTTCAACAAAATAATGCTTTTTCAGAGTTCTGGGAGGATCACTTTCAGTGTCGATATCCTGGCAGTCCAAAAACTCCGTACAATGGCCAATACGAGAGGCAGTGTTCGGGAATGGAACGACTCACCAATAATAACACGGAATTCGAGCGACAATTGCAGTTCGTTTCAGATGCTGTCATGGCTTTTGCTTATGCAATAAGGTAAACAACTTATTTATACACACATAAGTATTATCGGTATAATGTGCTTTTTTATGTATATAAACCGTTATTTTAAGTCACCGTTCCACTTTAAGTTTTTACTTTACTACTCTTTAATATGTTTAACAAATATTACTTTAATATTTATCTAATGCTTTGAAATAATACAACAATAGTAACCGATTTCAAGTAATTTAAAGCATAAAAATGACTATTTAACAAATTATATACTTAAGTAAACCTAAGATTACTCAACATGAGAAGACAATAAAAATTAATGTAAAATAATATAAAAATGTATCATAGCTTAAACTTATATCATTAATATCTATTAATTAATAACCATATATCTCAAGGGCCCTCATAATAATAATTAATCAATTAATAACAATCACTAATTGATCATATATTGTAATAGGTTGTGGCATAGGAATGTACAATATGATTTACGCAGCCTAACCCTTAGAACAACTTCGTTATATCAAATTGGCCGTACTGACCTTGCTCTTCACTCGGTATCCATACCCACTCTATCATTACGGTCCTCTGTGATTCGATGACCTCTAAATTGATTCACTCTATCTGAGTAAAATGGTGTGATAATTTGATTAGACACTCCCGTTGAATTATAAAACGATGTATTTGGTTTTCTTTTACATCGCACTTCAAAGCCTGTTGGGTCATAATTTTCATAAACCACAGACTGATGCGCTCAGCAACATGTCATCATCGTTGCTCAAATTGTTGGCACAGAGCCCGTTAACTTAGCATCCAACACGCTGACTGCTAGTTCATTTACAAGTTGAACGGGTGTGACTAGGTCAGGCGGCCCTGTGTAACACTTTCCAATTTGTTAGGTTCCGACATTGTTTCTGTCTGCCGAATTTCATTTGTGTGATGACTGTACCAGGATCTACATACATTATTAAGCTCACCGGGAAATTCGGTATCTCAAACTTCTACCATAGATAGTCATAGGAGATACGGTCGTAAGCAGTGGATAAACAAGGAAATATACATACCGGTGATTTTCAATTCATATGATATTTGAGGAATAACATGTTAATACTTTTTATCATAAAATTAAGCCAATATAAATGCTAACTATATTCTACTTTACCATTAACTTTTCAATCTTCAACATCTATTGTTATAGGCTCGATGACTCAAATTTTCAGTTGATTCGATTTAGATAAAGTTATAATCAAATTCATTCTCATCTATAGTCTATACCAGGCAAAGTGCTAATTAACGTTTCTATAGAGAACCGGCCTCATAAAGATTGAGGATAAAAATTTGTTATTCGTGTTAGAATTACAAATTATAATTAAAAGGCGTGTTAATATTAAGCTGTAACATGTTTTTCACTTGTTCGCAGTTAACGACCCATTTATTTTAATAAAAAATATTGTTTGAAAATGAATTAAGAGAAACTCAAGGTTATATATACGATCAAAAAAACTATATAAATTACTTATATAATATATATTAACTGACAAGAGCCAGAAAAATGGAAATCATTAAAGAGATTTTAATCATAAATAGTGGACTAAATAAATAGTGAACCAACTTCAGTAGGATTTGAAATGGCTTGAAGAAAGTGTTATTAATGTTATAGTTGTAAAAAAGTCAAGCACTTTTCAATATTTTTGTAACAAATACATATTATTTAAAACATATTTCTGTCGTTTTAAATATTCAATATTATATCCGTTACTTCAGTATGAAATGATGAAGTATTTCATTACAACATGTATTCAGCAAGTATTCAGTCTTTCTGAATTCATGCATTGAAATTTTAAAGAATATTCTCATGAATATTGAATTAAATATTTTAAAGTAATTTATAAATTATTAAAGTGTAAGCGGTTTAATTGCTCCAACTATAATTCGTCACGCGCCAATCTGGTTTTTATTTGATCAAAATATGTACATATATAAAAAAAAACTGTATTATTTAAACAAAAAAATATATATAGACACGTCATTTCAAAAAAACAATGGTTACTGATTGACTGGAAACAAATGCTACCAGACAAATATTAGCATTTTTCTAATACTAATTAGACCTAAAAAAGGAAGAAAAATTATTCAGATTTAATAAAAGGTCTATTATTTTATGTTATCGTTATTGACCCTTAATAATTAAAAAATGCATCGAATTTTATTTCATGCAATAATATAAAAGATTTCAGAAATAATAAGTTTGATTTTGACGTTGGGTTACGGTACCTATTTTAGTCTCTACGACACAAGCATTGAACCTGCGCTGAGTATTTCAGGTATTTTTCATTGATTTGATAGTTTTCCACGTTTATTCTGTAAACCATGTTTTCTTTGGAGCCTCTATCCACCTGGCTTTATAATAAATATAAAAGGTAAAAAAAAGAAAGAAAGAGTTCTCATCGTCATCATTGTTTCAGTTCTCACGAAGATTCTTTTAAATAAGGAAGGGTTTACAACTTTTTATAAATAAATACGTTCATAGAATAAATACTTTATGCTGCTTTTAGTTTTTTTTCTTCTTTATTTCATCAAATCGTTTGAATTCTTTTACATTACTATAAACAAAAATGTTTGTGCAACACTTAAAAGAGAATATACATAATTAAAATAGTTAATTTTTAAAAATATACTGAAAATTACGTAAATTAATAATGAAAAAATCCTTTTAAATATTTTTACGCAAAAAAAAATATTGTACCTACGTCACATCCAAACAGTGGAATAGCCAAAAGATTGAACTTTGTTTTCCTCCTAGCAATTTTTCAAATCCCAGTTATCATTGTAAAGCACACGCTTCTTATGATATAATTATTACTTTGTAATTCTGATGCTAACGAAAACAATTCCAAATTAGGTATCCTTTTTCTATGTGTAGTATTTCTATCTATAGTATGTAGTTCTATCTATAGTAAAAAATGTACAAAATGTAAGTTCAAAATATATATTCCCTAGAGTTCAAACAGAGTTTCCAACACTTTGTGCCAGACATACTCATAACACGTTTACTAACGTCTATAACGTACCACATGCTTGTATATTCAAGCTACAGACGCCGACTTGACAGCTTTTTGTTCACAAATCTTCGCACATATAATATTAACGTTGATTAACGAATGCGCAACTAATGACTTTCTTTATTAATTTTGTCGATACAAATAGTATTAAGGTTACGGAATGTAATAAAATCTTAGCTTAAAAACTCATAAAAAGTCAGAGCCGAACGTACGAGTTACGACTAAAACCTTACGAGGATATTTCCTTTGATATTGACCACAAATCTCACTTTTTGCATGAACATTATTATCCATACTATGACTCGTTTACAATTGTTTTCAAAACCGTATCAAACATACAATATAACTCAAGCAACGACAGTTCTAAATATATTTTAAATAAAATACTAAAACATAAATCCATAAATAAATCTGTCATATAAAATACATCTAAGCGATATTCTCACGTATGAAAGTGAGGTCGGAGCGCTACTTGTAAATTGTCATTTTATTGAACATCGTGCAGGCGATACGCTTCTCAAACAAAGTGTATGCTGTATTGGCAGGCGTTTACTATTTTAGAAATAAATTCCAGAGCTTGTATATTGTTATACAACTTGTTTTTCAATATGGTTGAAGTAGCTTAAATAAAAAACAAAACAATGTAAAGGAATACTCAACCTTTTTTAATGAACAGTCTTTGTCTTTGTCTAGAAGTAAAATTTGTTGTAATAAGAAGTGAAATAAAAGTCGTCTTAGGCTCCACAACAAACTTTTATCTTTTATTGATACGGTCTAAAACACAATGTAAAATAGTCTTCTATGAAGTACTTTTGTTTTAGAACATTAAGTTTTAAACTCAGTAAAGATACTTTTCAAGACAAAAAGATATTAAATTATTCAATTTGATGTACACTTTTCAAGAATTATTATTAGCATTAAATCTCTTAGAAATTTTGATAAATTTTATAAAAGAGAATCACTCAAAATAATATCTAAGGTATGCTAAGAAACATTCTTATCTTCAAACGCCGCGTCTATCTAAATATTTAATACGTTTGTGAGAGTTTACTCCTTGTTTTAACTATACAGGGTCCCTTTGAGTGATGTTGTTCAATCTCAGTTGTAATGATCGTGATGACTACACTAATTACTTTGGATCAACCTCCACCTTACATAATACAACATTTAGAAAAGAGGATGATATTTACAAAGACCTTTTAATTAATCTTAAACAGTAATCAGGTTTTATATTTTCCCACGTTTATATAAAGTACCTTATCTTGTTTATTATTTGATAAATTCCAGATTTTCTATAGAATAGAATTTAGCTACTTAAAATTGTAATATAATTATTTATGAAAAGCTGAAGCAAATATTTTAAAATAATACTGTGCGACAATGACCTTATGTAATGTTTTTATTAATTAAATCGTACGATTCTAACACAAATATGTTATAACATACGTTTAAAATATGAGAACGGTATTGATAATTCCAAATGTATAAAAGTAATATTTTTAATAACTAGGAAATGCAACTTTCCATGTTTTTCGAGCGACACCACTTCTCCATTCAGGTTGACTGAAGCTACCTCATCGTTTCGGTACCGAAACGTTTTTTGTGGACATAGTTTTCGTATTCAGGTCTTAAAATTTAAATTTTTGGTCCAATCATTTTTTTTATATAAGAACCACCCCAGATTACTGAGTTATAAACAAGAAAAACGTCGCCACAATTGGACATTCGGTTACCTACATCTTCTCCGTGGATGACTGGAGTCACCAGTATAGCGTTCCGTTCGATTCAAGAAACATATTTAAGTAAATAAAATCGTGTCAGTATTTCATCAAGTATTGTGAAATTCAATATGATTTTAAAATAAAGTAAAATAAATATATGGGTGTCTAGATTTTATCGTTAAGAAGTTCTTATATTGAAACAATATTAAATGGTCATTTTATTTTATAAGACTTTAATGTTGTTCTTATAGATTCATATTTAACATAAAACTTGCATACTATATGTATATCGCCAGTTCGTTAATAATATTCAAAATCAAAACACCTAATTTTAAACCCAATAGTCGAATGATAAACTTTAGAATTATTTATTAAATGGAATATTTATTCATACATAGAATGTTTCTCCATTATATTTTAAATAGCTATAATTCTTCATAACAACAACCTATTTTTCAGTTCAATAAAAATGTAAGTATTTGTCTATGAACGATGTAAAGTTTTAGTTCCAAGAAACATTTGTAATTTCAGTCTCTATCCCTTGACAGGTGTTGTAGGTCACAGTATGTTCACATGTTAATTAGGGTTTCAGTGAACTGTCATCAGCCTATCAACGCCCACTGCTGAGCATAGCCTCTTCTCAGATGGAGAAGGTTTTGAGCATTAATCACCACGCTTGCTCAAGACGGGTTGGTGATTTCAAACTTATAATTGTGAAACTATAAGTCCAGGTTTCCTCACGATGTTTTCCTTCACCGTATGTCAGTGGTGTCTAAATACTCTCAGAAAGTACATATGACTCCGAAAAATCACATTGGTACTTGCCAGGTTTGAACCCGCGCCCTCGGCAATGAGAGGCGGACCCTTTAACCACTAGGCCACCACTGACCTATTGAACTATTTGAGGTGAACCTTCAGTGAACTATTTGAGGTAAAATAAACGCACCATCACAAGAATTCCCTCAACCGCAGACAATAGCAGACAGACTCAGAAAACATCAATTTAAATGGAACACATTAAACATTCAGTACAACATTTCTATTTCGTTCAAATCCTCAATTAGGCCTTATTATATTATATAATGTAAATGTCACTTAGTTTAGTAACAAAATCGATTTTATTTTCAAAATGCTTCATCTTATACTATATAATATGTAAAAATATCAGTTTTTTATCTTGTATAACAGCGAATCCAGACTAATTGAGTAATGTAGAAGAAATTTCTCTATATATTTCACAAGTACAATTTAATTGTCTTACACTAAACAAATGAAATTCTCGAAGCTAAAATACAAATTTAAATATTTCCTTATCTTCAGAGTGAGTTATATGTAAGAATATTCGTGTTGTATGTTGTATGAGTCACGTCAAATTATGTAATACCAGAAGGGTTCAAAGTTGTTCCTTCGTTCCAAACAGGGCCCTTGAGTAAACTTGTTCTCTTCCACTGTTTACGTTTCACTTTAGGATATGATTTTATTTCAGGATTTCATTTTGTATATATTAAATATTTCTGCGCGATGCTGTAATATGAGAAACGTTTGAGATTCTTTAAAATAAATTCACGAATACTTTATCTACTGCAAATATAAATATTGTTCGTCTTATGAGGTATAATAATTTTAAATTTTCAGTGTAGTCGACCAAATTGTAGTTTATTTACTACCTTATATATTACAATATTTTTTTCCCATTTCATTCACTTCATTTCATGTTATTTCATTGTAAGTATAAATTTGTTATTTTGCTAATTAACACTATTTCATTGAACCCACAAGCTATAATTTAACTGAACGTAATTATAGGTCTTTTTGTTTTTGTCAAATGGTGTGTAATTGGAAGAGTTCAGATTGTCAAATGAAATGACGCAATAAATAAATGTTCACAGGGATATGCATTTATCTGTATGCGGCGGGAGAGTTGGTCTCTGCGATGCCATGAAGCCAGCAAGCGGTGCCGAGCTGCTGAGATATCTAAGAAAAGTTAATTTTACGGGTATGTGTATTCTATAATTAAGATTTTTTACAAATATAACAAAAACATTAAAGAAGAAACCGTTCAATGTATTCATGGTGCGCGTGACGGATCTATCATTGCAGTGAGATGAGCTTCAACAGTGCCTGAGACTTGCGACCCAGGTGTAGTTTTAAGGTGCCCCTATCTAACGTGTTTTAAATGCTCACCTCCACCGTCCAAGCTCCTCTCTCTATCTACCTAAGCAAAATTTATAATATATCTCGTGTTATATTGGCCAGGTCTTAGCGGAGATGAATTTCATTTCGACGCCAATGGAGACGGGCCCGCCCGGTACAATATTCTGCACTTCAAGCAAGTATCTCGAGGAGTTTATCAGTGGGTTAAAGTGGGTCAATACCTTGATGGAGAACTTCAACTCCATCTTAATGGTAAGTTAATGGAACGTAACACGAGTGAGGTATTGGTGTTTGAGTATTTCAAACTTTAAAATAACTTTCAGTTATATTTTTATTTACTGGTTCTTTTAGTGGAAAATTTTGTTTGTATTTATTTACTTCTAAAGTTACTGCTATTTTAATTTATGTGAAACGCGCGTTTGGATATCACGCGGTACTAACGAATTACTTGAACTTTTTGATGATATAAAGTAAACATTGGAATCATTAAAATAATAAATAAGCCAAATATAATTATTAATTATTATTAATTTGTAAAAATAAAGACAATATATTTCTGAGAACTCAATATGTAACTAAATTTACTACTTATACATAACATTTAACACAACTTATATAATTTCAAGTGACGTATTTTTTCACAATAATTATATTTAATATATATATGTAATAATACTATTTAATACAAGATGATCCGGTTGACTTCGTACTGCCCTATAATCAAGAAATATCTGTTACCTTTTTATCTAAATTAAGTTAATTTCTTAATTATGTACAGCTGACTCGACAAACAATGGTCTGTCTTCTTCTTATATTCATTAGCCTATTATTCATTTAGCCTATTACAGTCCACTGCTGGACATAGGCCTCTCCCAACACGCGCCATAACGCCACGTTTAAATTAATACTATAATAGTTTAAGTCTTAAATATTTCGACAATCTATCCAGATCTCAATTAATAATATTCAAAAACAGTTTTAAAATGTAACATTTATATTGTTATGTACATATTTCAAATCAAGGCCTGCATTTATTAAAGTGCTAGCGCCATCTGTTATATTTTTGTGATTGAATTAAATGAAACTCCAATTTCTTTCGATAGATGTCGCTACAATATAATCTTTAATTTACACAAAATAAATTAATAAACACATGCGTAAAAGTTAATCATTTGTCATAATTTCTGACCTCATGTCAACCATTACCTATAAGTATTTGACAGGATGGATAACAAATGTTTGACAAATGACAGGTACAACCCGTTTCGATCGATCCTGTGAACCCCGGTTCGATCCTTTACATGTTTTCGTCGAGTTTTCTTTAAATTTTCTTTTTTAAAATTTATTATGCTATTCAGGGCGAAGACATCTAGTCTAGCCGATCTCGAGTTAATAGTGTTGTAACAAACACGAACTCCTTTTATATATATTAATATCTATAGTTATTGGAGTTTTTTATTATAAAATATTAATTTAATTTCCAAACTATTTATATGAGGGTAATTTAACAGAGATTCAGTTCAAATGGGGTGAGCGTCGTCCTCCAGAGTCCGTGTGTAGCGCCGAGTGTGAGTTGGGACAAGCAAAGCAATACGTGGAGGGAGAGAGCTGTTGTTGGCATTGCTTCAACTGTACGCAGTATGAGGTATGATATAATTAAAAATACATAATACATTAAGCATTTCTTCTAATATTTGTTGCAATTCGAATGAATTATTACAATATGCATAACATTTTGCAGTACCATTATTGAATGTAAAAGTAATTCTTTATTTGAAAAAAAAAAAAATCTATAAAGGCCATTAAATACAACTCGACCTTCATATAATGAGATCTAAGACTCACAAATATTCATTTAAATGAAAGTAATATTTTAAGCATTTCTACGCATATTTTATTAATGTAAAAACTACATATTCGCGATGTTTTGATTAATTTTTAGCAACCGTCATCACGGTCAGACGAGATATAATTTTTATAATAATAAAATACGCGTAGTATAAATAAGAAAAATATTAGTTTCATTTAACTTGATTTTCTATTTTCTTTATTAAAAAAGTACATATATTTTGTAGATTCGTTCACCGTATGTTGAAACAGCTTGTATGGTGTGTCCTCGAGGGACGTTACCAGACCCAACTAGGACTGAGTGTCGTCACATACCAGAAGCATATCTCCGACCAGATTCCGCTTGGGCCATTGGAGCGATGTCTTTCTCTTCCGTAGGAATATTATTAACAGCGTATGTATTCATAAATATATGCATATTATAACTAAATATTTGGTTAAATGAAACTAATTGATAAAAATTATGTGTTATAATTATATTTAAATAAATTAAATTTGTTATGAGCTAAAATTTTTATAAACATTTATATTTCGTCTCATGAGAATGAAGCGATATTTCAAATTTGCATTAACTTTTCTCATTGAACTGATTAATTATCAATTACCATTTTTAATTAAACCTGTCACTAACGTCCACATGATTATTTATCTTAATGTATTATTTTAATCGTTGTTTTTATTTGAATGCTATAATAATTGTCAAGGTTCGTCTGTGGAGTGTGGGTCTATCATAGCTCAACGCCTGTCGTTCGTGCAAGCGGTAGGGAACTGTCATATGTCCTTCTTGCCGGGATTCTGATGTGCTATCTTGTGACTTTCGCACTCGTATTTCGACCGACTGATATATTATGCTCCTTACAGAGGTGAGTTAAAAGAAAACTTTAATTTGTTAATATAATGTTATTACAAAAATCACTGAAGGGTGCAAAAAATAAATATCTATCTTGATGAATTCTAAACTGAATTGATATAAGAGTGAGAGTATATTTGAAATTGGATATAAGCAAAGAATATAAAAGTTGGATTCAAAACATACGACAAAACAAAAGTAAATGAGGATATCCTGGTACATTATATTTGTAGATTCGGTACCGGTTTTTGCTTCACTGTGGTGTACGCGGCCTTGTTGACTAAGACGAATCGTATTTCCCGCATCTTCAACGCCAGCAAACATTCCGCCAAACGACCCATACTGATATCACCGAGCTCCCAGCTGGCGATATGTGCCGCGCTCGTTTCCATACAGGTTGGTTACTTACATAAATAAATGGGTTTTAGTCATGTATACTTATCTGTGTAAAACATCTTTAACTGAATATTCAATGAGTTGTATCTAATCTATAAATAAAAGTCATTTTTCATGGTTGGTATGGTTTCATAAGTACTTGTTGAGGACAATACAACGCTATTCAAGTGTTCTTATTCTTTAATCAATTTTAAAACTTATTCATTACGTTTGTGAGAAGATAACAAAACACGAATTATTATATATATTATAATTGGAGGTTTGCTATCTGTATTTTGTTCTAACTGAACATAGTATATATGTACAGAAAGAAATAAAAATATTAAAAACATTTGTTTCTTTAGTTAAGTGTGATTTAAATAAAACTCAGGAGTCAGGACCTTCTTAATGTCTTTTACATGTTAGAAAATGTTATAGTTCAAATAATACTCAGTTAGTATAGATATAAGAGGAAATAATTATTTTTGAATTCATAGTCTCCTTTATGACATATCCTAAGTTATCGTGAATCAGTTTCAATCTTGAATAATGTATGCAAAAATAAATTGAATGAAATCCCGAGCATCAATCTGAGTTATTTACTCATTTTGAAATATTTAGTTTAGAAACAAATTTCATCAAAAAAGTATTTTATAAGGGAATACCTAGTTTGAATTTTTTATATAAATTTACTACTGTTCATTTGACATGTAAGTAATTAAAAAGTGCATGGTATATTACTTAATCAGATACTAAAAAGATAATGCAAATATCGTCTAATATAAAATCCATTATTGATTTAAAAATATATTGTCCAATATTATTGAAAAAAAAAACGAAAAACCTCAAAAATGTTCTTTGCATTATTCGAAGTTCTGAGAGAGTTTCATGAGACCGTGAAAACAAAGAGTGAAAATAACATTTCAATGCACATTAGAATCAAAATAACCTTTGAAGCACAAAAAAGTAATAATTATTTTATCTAACTGAATAAAAACAAAACTAACAAAATCTCACATAAACGTAACCTTGTTAGTATAACGAAAGTTTGTATTTAAGTTAACGGTCCCGTTTAACACTTAAAATACTAATAAATCAATTTGGTATAATCTACTGATAAACTTTCAAAACTGGTTCGCAAACAAGGTACGCTAAACGGATTAAGTTACGACAGTTAACTGAGAAATTGATTTATAGGACCCATTCTACGTATCTGACCAGTAATTAATAATTCAATAAACATAATAATTCAATATTGTGATGAATACAACAAATAATGAGCTAATTAAGTCTTGCTAACAAAGAACACGATACGTGACCTCAACCGATCCATTTGGATTTATTTTATTTTACCCTTCATTATTTCTCTTCTTCATAATACCTCAATTATACTTTTGTATAATTTATCTTTATTATTATTATTAAAGAAAGTATTTATTTTGAAACTAGTCTATATTATTGGGGCTTAACAAGCTTCCTTCAATTATGAAATAACATCTTCATGTCAGTATAACTTTCCCAACTGAAGCAACTCTATTGAGAAACGTCGTGTATAAACTTACAAAAACTGTACCATGGTATTAATTATACAACGTAAAGTGCTCAATATATTAAATATAGCTTCATACCTTTAACAAACTGTTCTTCACATCTGATATAATAATCTATGTTATATCTTTATTTCTAACATACGACTGAAGCTTCCAATATCCTTTATCGAATAACTGAAAGTTAAACGTTTATGATAGTCATTAAAATTTAGAGTAAATAAATTTAATTAAGTAAGTAAAAACTTCGCAAAATTTATTTTAAAAATCGCATGTGATCTATATTTTTAAGTTTTGTGTCATAATTAAATCTTATGTTAAATCTCTCCCCATTTGATAAAAAGGGTGCAGAGTTTTGATGAGCATATAAGTCTAATAATCTGCTGACAATAGATTCAAATATATTTTTTGTTTATATAGGTTCTTATAGTGGTAGTGTGGATGATTGTGGCTCCAGCTCGAGCGATGTTCCACTACCCAACGAGAGAAGACAACATGTTGGTCTGCGACTCCTACGTAGACGCCTCCTACATGATCGCCTTCTTTTATCCCATTGTGTTGATAGTTATATGCACGGTGTACGCTGTGCTCACACGGAAGATACCAGAGGCTTTCAATGAAAGCAAACATATAGGTGAGTTACGTGTTATAAAAGGGCATAGCCGGATAAGTATGGGAAATCTGCCCCTTGGCTTTTTTGACCCACACTTAGGATCGATTTGGCATCAAATGAAAATAATTCACACCAATTTTTAGCCCTTTAACTCGAACGATGATCGTTATCGACGATCCCCTAAGTGTTGGTCAAAAAAGAATTGGGGGCAGATTTCCTATACTTATCCAGCTACCCTTTCATCGCAGTTTAATATCGCTAAATAAATTTATAATGTGAATAAGTTTACAATTTAAGTCAATCGTCTCTATAGAAGCGTATCGTGAGTTTGGTATTAATCAATAAAGTTACTCATTGTAAATTAATTTTAAATTCCAAGACAAATATTATGAAAGACATTTATCTTTTAGTTATAGTTTATGTGATTTCGGTTGAATGTATTAAGATAATAAGAAAAATACGTAAATTACTTAATATGTGCTTTAAACGACGTGACTTGGACTAAAAATACTAAGTACATATTGGCAATTTCGAAGTCTGTAATTGAAAAATTGTAGTGAACTTTAAGTCTTCGTGCTTATCAAGTGTTCAGGCAGATATCCAAGTAATATTTCAAAGATATCTAAGTAACTTACTGTAAAGATAATGTCACATAGAATAATATGTATTTTAAATGAGTACATTAGATTTTAATATTGTAACGTTTTTAATTTTATAACGTTTTTTAATTAACGTTTTTAATTTATTAGATTTAAATATTACAACGTTTTTAATTTTTGTATGTTTAAAGACTGAGCTCAACTAAATCCAGCTTGTAATCTGCCTTCAAAAAAGGGAATTTAAATGAATAATCAAGCGTAAGAAAAATAACTAGATTCCTATTTCCAATACAACTGTTTAAACTCTTCCGGTGACGCTGTCAAAACCATTAGGGCTAACAGTATTATTCCTTAAAAAAAAAAACTGTTTAAAAATAATATCATATACTTCGGTGAACTATATATTTAGTAATTATTATTTTTTGTTATTTCGTTCTTTTATTTTTGGGTTATTCAAATCTATATTTTTCTCTTATAAGTCTGAGTAGATAAAAATGCCTGTAGAATGTTAAGAATATAGTGTTATGTAATATTAAGTATATTTAAATGTGTTATAATGTGTAGGTTTCACCATGTACACGACCTGCGTCATCTGGTTGGCGTTTGTGCCGCTATATTTCGGCACGGCCAGTCATGTGCCGCTTCGGATCACGAGCATGGCCGTCACCATCTCCCTTAGCGCCAGTGTTACTCTTGTCTGTTTATTCTCTCCTAAGGTATCACATTTCTTTATTCATTAGGAATATTATAATTGAAATATGTTGAAAAATTTATTTTGCATTAAATATTCTCATGAATGAAATTAAATAAGGATTAACTTACATGCAATTTTATATCAATTTTCATTTTCCTTTAGATCATGATGTAAGTATTGATTGAATTATAACTGAGCAAATCTATTTCAGCTATATATAATACTAATCCGACCGGAGCGGAACGTTCGTCAGAGCATAATGCCAGTGCGTTACAGCCAAAAACCACTCGCACTGCCACATCCATCATCGAACACCACTCATATTAAGAGTAAATTTATTTATATTATCATATATATTCTCTTTATTAAACTGTTCCAAACAAGCACTACATTAATTATATTTTTACAGAACCGAACATGGATAAGGGAACACAAACAGATCCATCGGATTTCGCGAAATTATCCAATGGACAGACAATTCTAGATAAAAATGGAATAGACAAAGAAAAATTGGATGTAACAAAAGAAAAAGAAAAAAATGATAGGAGAGAAAAAGATAAGAATGATCGAGTGAAGGATGAGATACTCAAATACAATATTGTTAAGGCAGACAGCGCTGAGAAGAGTGCTCTGAAGGAAAAGGTGTCCTTATAGCAACGAGAATCTTCTAAGTCTTTGGACGACATCAAGAAGAGCAGCAACAGCTTCAAAAAGAAAAGTTGTTCTTGTAAACTTAGAGAAAGGAAACCGATAGTTGTTTAAAATGGTTTAAATCTTGTATTTTATCATGTACATATTGTTATAACTCAGACTGTATATAGTTAAGGTGAAACATGTACATATAAAACAGAAGACACATAGTGATATTGTACATAGTTATATGTATATGTAGAATTATGGAGGCATTACGAATACGCAGGACGGAGCACTGAGCCAGGGCGAAGGAAACTAAGTTGTTAAAGATAGTCAGTGAATACGTTTATTGATATTTCTAAAAACTTTAGATTATTATAATATCTCTAAATTAGTTATAATATCTCCTCGACTTAGATCTCTAAGCAGTCTCCAAATACAAGTTATACTGTTATATTCTATATTTGTATGATACAAACATTTATATTATACTATAGCCTTTTTTCTATTGTAAGGTAACGTTACACACTGATTAAACTTATCGAATTTCGACCACTTTTTAACGATATTAATTACACAGCAGAAAATTGTTAATAGAATTTTAGATTTAGAAAATAAGAAATACATATATAGGAAAAGAAAATCATAAATAAACATATATTTAGATAAATGATTTGTTATATTAACAATATTTAAAGTTTTTAATAGTATTTAAGTGTTTAATAACTCGGCTACCCTCGTCCTTTGCACGGCCTGCGTATTTGAATTATATAAGTTATTATGTATTAAAATGTATGCCAATAAACGGTTTTTAATGTTGCGTTGTCTTTAATCATCCCTTATAAACTGTTCATAACGTGTTGTCATTTTTTTTCTAATAAAAGTATTGTATAATAATATATTATATAAATGATGCTGTAGAATATTATCTAGATTTTAGATATTTTCATGTTTTCTCTTCCAGCAAATAATCTAAAAATAGCTTGATCCTATTATCTTAAGTGTTTTCTTGTCAGACCAATTCACTTAATCATCTCTAGACTTTAGATGAAATAGAATTCAAAATGTTAGATTCATTGTGATACTGAAAAATATTAAAATATCGAGATCTTTTTATGCGTCTTGTAACTTGTTTAAAATTTTAATCAAATCTAATTCGTTAACTAATGTAATAAAATACATGTTTATAAATTCAACTGTTACCAATTTGGTTGGAAGAGTACGTTTCACAGCCAGCGAGAGGTTTCTTGTAGTTTACAAAACTGCCTAAATATACGTATTTTATAAAAGAATTTACTTGATTATACCTATAACTTCTACTTAAAACTACCTTATGGCCACGACGACGGACAGCAACATCATCACAATTCTTGAATGAGACCAGAAAACTTCGGGTTCACGTGGAGGGATGTTTGTTTCAAGGATTCAGCAGCTTCAGTAGTTATAAGATCTGTAATATAAAATAATGTGTTGCCCAGGGAATGTTAGTTAAATGTTTACTTGTATTGCCTAAGTAACAATTTCAATCTGCGTAGTATTTATATAACAACACTGTTAAAAGTAACATTATTTATAATTACAGAAATAATTGTTAAACTTCCTCAACTGAGAATTTTTTTTATAATCTAAGTGCTTATTAGGAAAGGGATTAGAAAAAAATTACAAGAATAGTCGTGATAGAATTAGGTCACCAAATAAAATCTTAAGAGACTGTGAAGACTGACAACTGTGAAAGCAATAATTATAGCATTAAGATTTTTATGAATAAGAATGATTTAATAATAATAAAATCAAAGAGAGATAAATATAAAGGCAACAACAAGAATATAAGAAAAATATATAACTGAAGGCGATCTAAAAGTAACTGTTAGAAAATAATGTTTAACGTAATACATACAAAAATTAAGGTTTAAAATAGAATGCAATCATATACTTAAGTCAATTTAACCTCAAATAATTAACAGTCAAATTGGCCCTTTGTTAATGAGGCTTACATTTTGTGTGACTTTCGGCTACACTAGGGGTCATGTGTAAAGTAGGGTTAGTGAGAACTGCTCGAGAACTATTTAGAAGTTATAAGAATTCTCCTTCGACACTTCAAGAAATCCGTAAAATAATGTGTTGAATAAATAAACGAAGAATTCTTTAGAAAACATTGTAGAACTATCTTCGTACTCGCTAATTAACAAGGAAAGTTTATTTAAACTTGAACAGTTATGTACAAAGTGTTGAGCGAACTTCTATATTTTTTAACATTAATTAACATAGAATAAATTTTGTATTATTTAAGAAGAAGAGATATTTGCTTTATTCATTGGTATTACAAAAAATATTTTCAAACATTTTCATTGATTAATTTTTATCAAACTATTTAAATAGTAAATACTCATCACTACAATGAAACTATATGAAAATTCAGTCTTATGGGATTACAATTTATATTTTATTCAAAAGTATTTATTCATTTGTAATCTTTTTCATTCAGAGATGAGAGAAAATTAAGGTCATTTGTCTTTCAATAAGGTAAATGTAATTTTTCATCTATAGCTGATAATTTCTTTGAATATTGTTTAATACAAAAAACAATCAGAACTATTCAATTTGGTTATTGCAATCTTTATTAATTTATCATTTATAAGATATTGTACTAACAGTGCCTTTTATAGAACGGTCTTTAAAAATTAAATTTAAATAATTAATAATTTTAACCATATTTAAAGAAATATTAAAATTCAATGAATTTTTAACTTACCGTGACCCGAAAACGTTATCTTTATCACATACTAAATAAAGAATAAAAAGAAAACTTCTTACATTTCAATTAGTAGCTCTAAAGTTTAAAAAGAAGAAAAACAAACTTGGAGTCACTAACTGTTGTGCAACGTATAAGGAACTAACTTTAACCATTAACTTCTTAAATATGTTAGTCAACTAATCCATTAAGAAACATATAAATTAAATTCTTATTTAAAATATTCTAAAAGGAAATTACTGTTAATATTAGTTTTAGACCAGATATTATTTGTTTTGTTTAAAAAAGTGTACTTAAAAATGTAAATGATGATGTGATATGTAGTAACTCCTAAAGAGTCTCCGTATCACATTATTTTTACATTTTTATTCAATATAAAATAATAATCATAGGAATTGAACCAGAAACTATATAGATTTTCTTTATAAATTACTTCTCATAGAAGGCTTTGAAGGATTCTCTAATATAAATTTTACTTACCTCACCGTATTATATTTCACAATAAAATAAACTTCAATTTGTAAAAAATATTTAATTAATATGACAATCATATACTTATGAGATATTTAAAAGTTTCCAAAAATGTTTAAACTACCAGAAGAAACTTAAATTCCTCCGGAGAAAATCCATTAACAGCTTTGGTCGTGTTGATTAAACATGAAATATTTAAATAACTTGTCGGTGCTATGCTTTGAGATTTCTATAAGGATTGATTCGGAGTTCGGAATTAGTATGTCTTTAAACTGAGCTAAATATTAAGTAAGCTAAATATTAAGTAAGCTAAATATTAAGACTGTTGAAAGTAGTGATAGTGGCGGCAGCATTTTTGAAGTCACACTTCATAGAAATCAAATATGACATGGTGCTTCAACATATACTATGTATAAGGAATAGTATACACCTGTGATATTGAAACAGTTAATCTACAACCTGTTCATATAATCAATACAATTAATCCGTTTATACCGTGACGTTTACTGTATTACTCAGGACCAGTTGCTGTCAAATACTATATATACATAAGTTATACGATGATCCTCTCTATATTTTAACTTTTTTTATTTTACCATTAGACGTATAAGTACTATATTATATTTAGAAGAATCAAGTATTCATTTATTTAACGTGTATTGCACTTTATTATATGATAATTTATTTTATGCACCATATTTATTTTATGGCCAATAACACGAAGTTAATAAGTCTCCATATGTGATAAATGTTACAGAAATAAAAAAGTAATATGCTTAACAAATAAAAGATTATATGATTCAATTAAATAATTTTTTTCGGTCTGGAGTCTACTCGCATGTAGGAGAGGAAACCGAGATTTTTTTTATTTCAAGTAAGCGGTGAAATACCTTTTTACATTTACTTAAAGCAGTTACTAATTTACTTTTCTTATGAATGAAAAAAACAGAACCATTAGTAGCCAGAAAATAAATATAAAGTTTCATTTTAATTTTGAGGTTCCTAAACTTTTTGCCGTCCGTAATTAGGCGGAACTTCCAAATTTTAAACGGTGGGATTGAAAAGGTCGCACCTTAGGCTGTCTTTATATAAAGCTGAAATGGTATTTTTGTTTACAATACAATTAACACTTCAAAGGTTATATTTCTCTTATCAAATGAAACTAATATTATTCGGATTACTTTACTTATTTTATTATTGTAAAAACGACGTACTCCTAACGTTTTAGTAATTATTACCACGTCGGAAGTATTTAGTTTTTTTTAATAATAAAATACGAGTAGAAATCCGAAAAATATTAGAGACGACATTTCTTAGCATTCAATGGATTCACCGTGCGTTTGCCGGGTCCATCACGTTGCAGGGAGAGAAGCATCAACAGTGCCCGGGACTGCCGACCCAGGTGTAGGTTTAAGGGGCCCCTTATCTAACGTGCGTTATACGCTCACCTCCACCTTCCAAGCTCCTCTCCCTACCTTACCAAAATTGAAATTACTTTTCAAATAATATTTGTGAAAGTCTTAGACCTTATTATATTGCTTTCAATTTGAAATGTGTTGTTATTATATTCTAGTATCATTTTTTATATTATGACTAACATTATGTTACCCATTATTTTTAAATTATACATTTCCTTTTTATGTATTGTGCATTAGACTTAAATTAGTATTTTACAATGCCAATTCACTGATCTGAGAGTAAATAAATACCTTAATCTTTAAATCGTGATACTCTTACGACAACGTTTATATTATAAAAGTAAATACCTAGTTTAATTGTTGAAATACAAGAATTAGATTGTGTTTAATAGGAGTATTAAAGAGTTCTGTTTAGCGTAGATCAATCGTCTCACATCATATAGGATACTATTACAGT